AATAAGTCGATGGGCGCTGAACACAGGAGGCTCTCTCTCTCAATGGTCATGAGCTGCTATTGAAACGACAGTATGCAGCAAAACAAAATTACAAAAGAGGATGACCTTCAGTCTGATAATAGCGTCTCTCTCTCTCTCTCTCTCTCTAAAATCCCTCTCTCCTGCTGTGGGAGCCAAGTGGTTTTCATGTCTTTTGTGTTTTTATGTGAACATAGAGCTGTTTTGGCTACTTTAAACCAACATACACTTACACCCTGCTCAGGCTTTCATGCAGTTTGATGCTCATGGACTAATCTGACTGAATTGTCTACAGTATAATGAATGGAACTTCTATATATTGAGCTTCATTTTTAAGTGCACATAAACAGAAAACCAGGGAGTTATGAACAGAAGATTTCTGTAAAACATGGTCAAATACAGAATGTCAGGACAATTTCATCAGGAGTTGATTTAGATAATGAGGCATCATTTTTGAGTCTTTTAAAGGTCAAGTTGGGATGTGCAAACAGTGCATCAGTACCTCCACCAGCCCTTGTAATATCCTCACAAAGATGACACATCCATAGTGCACCCGGGCAGCAGAGGGAATGAACATGTTCAGGGTGGATGTCAGCACAATGGCAGCCCCGAAAACTCTGGATAAACAGCGTGTTGGGATTATTTGTCAGAATATTATCAAAACAAGATCATCTCATTCAACAAGATACATGGCAGCAATATTGATAAATTTTCAAGAACTTCACAGAGATAAAACTATTAAATAAGTAATAAAATATAGAATATACAATGTTATACTGGGTGATTTTTTTACCACATACTGGAAGAATACACACTAATAAGGAAGATAAATCAGTCTTAATTGGATGCCATGCCACACACACAGACAACAGGCAGTTTCTAAGGGAGTGAGGACAGGAGGTGTTTGCAGCAGAAGGCGTCAGTGGGCTCAGCTGACTTGGCATGATGAAGCTCTTCAAAAGATTTGCATCTTATTTAGGCTCAGTTTCCCTCATGACAAATAAAACAGTCCTATGCACAAGGACTTAGGCCTATAGCACGAGAAATATCCTACTGTGGTTGCTTTTTTTTATCTCCTCCCTATAGTATTAGTTATATTTAAGGATTCTACCTTTTACTTTTTGTTATAATTTGATTTTCTTCTGCAGTCCTTAACAGCCATATTGTTCTTTGTTGCACATTTGTTCCTTTTGTCTAATTGTAGCTGACTAATCAGCCCTTGGTTTAGATAATGTGGAATTGAGGTGGTACGACCGTTGAAATCATACTGCAATCATTACTTCGAAAAGCATTTCACACATGGCTTTGGCTGATGTGGTTGCCATGCCTCTGAACATGAAGGATTAGGCATGGTGGTCCCATGGGAGCTCATTAACAGGAGGAGGCACGCCTTGTGGGCATCAGCCAAATCCCCAGTTTATCTGCTGTAAGGTCAGACTCCTTCCTTCAAACCATGAGACCGACATCCGCTGACTGACTACCACAAATATTACCTATATTACAAATTAAAATAGGGACACATAGAGAAAAACTGATATTTCGAAATCTCTTTCTTCGTACCCCGCTCTGCTATTTTTTCGTAGTTAAACAGTTACCTGTTTGCAGCCAGTCTCGAGGAGATATACCCTCCCGGAATCTGAGTAACTATGTAGCCCCAGAAGAAGGATCCATGAATCATTCCCACGATCTCTGGGTCCCAGTTAAATTTCGCTTTCTTTTAGACACAAACAAACAAAGAGACATTTTATTGATTAGGCTACTTTTCCATTTTCCTCAGGTAAGTAGGCCTATGTGTGAAATATAACCGATTCCTTAAACGTATAGCCTACATAAAAATACTTCTTATGCAAGTGTGAAATAGCCTACTGATTGTGGGAAACATTCTGAGAAAAATATCAGATCTATTTTATGTGATGCTTTAAAACCTTTGCAGCGACACCAGATGATCAACAAAAAATAAGCACAAAATAAGCCGAATTTCAGGAAAATTATGAATAAAAATAAAAACACTACACAAATTTGCTTCTTCTTACTACTAGGGTATATGGTGTAAACCCGAAATACAATTTAAAAGAAGAAATAAACATGCAGAATTTGAAGTTCTCCAGGTGTGTTTAACCAAAAGATATCGATCATTTTATTGGTTCTGGCCCTCATCACCTATCAAACATGGGGACTCGTGGGGCGTAACGGGGCGGAGTTTACAGGCACCTCTTTTATGATGATCTTGCCGTTTTGATGGATTGTGCTGTTATTGACCATGCTGACTATGGCCACACCCAAGTTACACCGGATACCGAAGGAGATGCAGAAGCCCATCCCGCTCAGCATAGCGATGATGTATCTGCGCGGAAGCCCGAAGCATGTGCAGTCACATAGGGGCGCCTTGCGCTCCTGGCCCGCCGAGGGTCTCCCATCCTCCGTCAGCTCGATCACCTCACCTGTCTGCTGCCGCTTTTCCAGCCTCCTGCACGACAAGCCGATTATATGCTCTTTTTAGGTTAAATTCAATGTCTACATTTGGATGTCTGAATTCAAACATCCAGGCTGCTTTTTAAGGGAAGAGGATCAAGAACTATCAGTGGAAAATATGTGATTTCGTTGATTTTCTGCAGGTCTAAATCCTTTGCATATACTCATGTATTTATTCACATGCCACTTACAGGCTATTTGCAGCTCATGCTACACAGCATATACGCTTTTATCTGCACTGTGTGTTCCTTCAACGACAGGCCTTCAAATTGTCTTAATTTTCTTCTTTTAATTTGACTCAAGACCCGTAAAAGCCTACATCCTTTTAGTTGAAGTCAAAGAGCTGGGTTTTTTTTCGTTTCCGGCTGAATTTCTCCATGTTTCTGTAAAAAAAAAGGCTGGTTGGCAAACGCAGAGAACATGGGCTTAATACCGCATTGCAGCAATATCAGCATCATCGTTGTTTAGAGTTAGTTTACCTTTTTCGTTTTTAATTAGCTTATAAATGTGGCGTTGGCATTTTGCTTCAGCTTTCACTTGAAAATTGTACAAAGAAATGCAAGATTAATTTAAAAACGAAACATTAAAATGTGAAGGCCTCATCCGATGTAGTGACAGTTCTGCTACAGCTTCAATGAAACCAACAGATTTTTTCCCTTGCAACTTGGAGGCATTTCAACAACTGAAAACCATTTTTAGGAGCAAAACATAAACGAAAGAGATGTGTGCCTGCACAAGTGTTCATCTAAAATATGTGCATTTTTGAAAAGCTACGTGTTTCCAGACGGTTCCTGTAAAAAAAACGTTTTTCCAGCTTAATACTGAACCAATAGACATTTTATTCTATCTCCAATGAGAATTAAAATAATTAATTTTATTTTTTTTACATCTGAAAAGCTGTTCCTCTACATCCTGCTCCCCCACTCTGATTTGTAATGGGGTTATCCGTTTACTTTACAGTTAGTTATCAGTTTTCCATTGGACAAAATTTTATTTAGGTCCTTGTGACAGTGTAAGGAATATAAGAAGTCAATTGATATGAAGTCCATCGATCTTGAATTAATACAGATGGCTACATAAGGTAATAGATACTCTCCGACCTTGCGTCACGACTCGCTCTGTTTCATTAATTATTAAAAAACATCCACAGCTGCTGGTGGAGGAGATCATCCTCCAGGGAAATATCTGATCCTTAAATATTCGGGCCACACGACTCTGCTTCCAGCATCCTGTGATTCATCTCATAAAGAAGATATTTCCCTCTTGATTTCATTGTAATTCAAACATTTTAGGCCAATGCTTTATTCTTTACGTGTGGTGTGAACATCTGGATATTTTCTATTTTTAATTCTCATCCTAATAACATATATAAATTCTGTGATTAAAAGACATGCAGAAAATGGAATTTCTTCGGCGTACCTGTGCAGTTTCCCAAGGGCCTTTCCTGCGATTTGTTTGAGTCCCTCTTTAGTGGTAGGGAGAGCTTTCTCCTTACCTGGTTCCATATTCAAATTGTCTTAAAAAAAATTATAATACTATAACAAATGGAAGAGCTGCATTAATACGCATATTGTTAAGATATTAATCCAAATAACGCGCCTCGTTTTTTTTTAAGCAGAAACCGTCTTCAAGTCCTGAAAAGATGAGCCAGGAAATGGAGAAAGAGGCGAAACACGTTCAGTCTGAAAGGGCTGGTTTCACAGTCACAAAACAGCAGTCAAATAAGTCCGCTTTTGCCTTGCGCAATGTTAATCCGTGCAGTGCCATTTTAAGATCCAGCCAGCGATTATAAAACAGCCAAACAGAAAATAAAAAGTTGGTGTTTTTTTCAGTATTCTTTGAGAAATCGACGTGGGAAAAGTGAAAATCTTAAACAGGGGTAGATTAGCGGAGCTTCGGTCTAATCTGAGGTGAGGATCTGGCGAGGAAGTAGCCGGAGGAGGTTTCAGCACCGCGGACAGCGCACAGCTACGCTACCTGTCAGCAGCTCCGAGCAGCGCCCCTCCTCCCTGCGCTCCCCTTCTCTAATTCAGTTATACTTCGAAATCTGTCAACGGCGACAATTGCATAACCCCTCTCCCTCACTTCTATCAAACGGAAAGGAAATTTATTTCAGGATGAGCTGCGGCCACTTTGAAATCACTTACAGCAGCAGGCACAAAGCAATGACACCCCCTCCCCGCTATTCACGCGGACCCAGACTGTTAGTAGTCCAGTAGCCTACAGTATGCGCTCAACCACGCAGAGGCAGTGTTGTATCAGGAAGCTAAGGAGACCAATCCTCAACTGGTAGGCTATGAAATGAAATGATATAAATGAGATTGGAAGCCATTGTTAGAGTGTATTTGTCTTTTTCCACCGATTAAACAAAGCTGTGATAAAATAATTAACATAGGCCTACACATGTTTTCCACACAGTTTCACGATGTTTGACACAGGTATTAGACAAAGTACATTTTTAATTTACATTTCTACAGCTCATTAGGATCTAGGCGCAGGCAGTGCGCACACAGGTGTGACAGTACACGTCCCCTGCCTTGTCCTCACTGTCATCCGGGTCCGTTTAGATATCATTGCAGCCACCCGCGTGCCTGACACAGGGAAAACATGACAGCAAAAGTGCCGTGAAACTCCTTCCAGAACTGGCCGCCTATGAAGCAGCTGAACAGAGGGTTGACGCAGGTGATGAGGCTGCAGAAGCACATCTCTAGGGCGAAGGCCAGGTCTGCGTGACGCCAGGAGGCGGGCTTGTCGGGGTAGACACGCCGCATCACTATGGCGGCGTTGCGGCTCAGGTGGTAGGGCAGGTAAAACAAGGCAAAGAGAACCAGCGCTGCGCTCAGGACCCGCCGGACCCTCCGCCTCTTATTATGCGGATCGGGGCGCCTGGACCGGTGGCGCAGCTCTCTGACACTGCGCAGGCCGCAGTAGCAGATGGAGAGTAGCGGGAGGAGGAAGCCGATGATGGAGCAAAAGAGGGAATAGGGGAGACTCTCCCCTGTCTTACTCAGCAGTATGTACAGGCTACAGACTGTGCGGTTGCTCCCAGGGCAAGTTTGGATCAGAGTCATACTGGCAACAGGTATGCTGAGGACCAGAGTGCCCACCCAGATCGCCAAACATAGCAGGTAGGTCTGCCTCCGACCCAGCAGCACCAGAGAGCGCAGCGGGTGCACGATGGCCACATATCTGTCCACACTGATGCAGGTGACGAAGAAAATGCTGAGGTAGAAGTAGTTGTGGTAGAACATTCTCACAACCGCGCACACAGGCAGGCCCAGTTTCCAGTATAGCTGGTCCAGATGGTAGTAGATGAGGTAAGGCAAGGCCAGCAGCCACGAGGTGTCAGCCAGGGTCTGGTTGAAGAGGAACACCGTGCTGCGGGTCCAACGCCGCAGGCGGTGGAAGAAAACCCAGAGGGAGAGCAGGTTGAGTGGAAGCCCCAAGATCAGTACCACCAGAAAGAAGGACGGAATCACGTAGAGCTGGACCAACGCCAAACTTGATGTTTATCCAGGTCGCAGAAGGTTTCTTCTGGAGTCTGGATGATCATGAGCAGAGGTTCAACTTGGAGATCTATTACAAGATAGATTGTATCCTGGCTCTCTTAGTCTAAACCTTCAGGGAAAGGCTACACAAAAACATTAAAGAAATGGACAGGTATTTGCCCAAATAAATAAAAAATATCTGCTTATGAACCATTCCTTGCCATAGTTACAATGATAAAAACTATCTTAAGAGATAAAATGTTTAAAATCACAGTGATCCTTTCCAACCTACCTGAACCTGAGTGTTGCCCATGTCTTTGTTACAGTGGCTTCTCTGCATGCCAAGTGAAACAACCATGCCAACATATTTTGGTGTAAAACACACCCACCAGTGTGAACAAACACTGAATAGTTATCAGTGCACTCTCAGGCCATCTGTTCTGGGAACAGCAACTTCCATGTTCTCAGCAAAGGAGCCGGTGGTCTGCAGTATTAAGGACTAATCCAAACATGTCCAACAATTACTCAAGTTGAACTGGCACTTTATTTTGGAGATTTAACTTTGTTTACAATACACATTTGGATACAGGACAATTATAAAAGAAATTACAGGAAATTAATGAGAACATGAAATTGTAACTTTAACCATACAGTAAACAGGTTCACCGTTTTTTTCCAAATGATATAAAATAAAATATAATTACTAAAGCATAACAAAAGAAGACATAAGAAAAAATACGTACAATGGAATAAAAAAAGTATTAGATGTATTAAGGCATCAACAGGCATTGAGTTAGCTGTTAGCTGAGCGCAGGGCATGTAAAGGAAAACTGGAACAGTCCTACGTTGCTCTCGGCTATGTGGTCACAACCACACGCATCTCAAATAAACATAGATTTAGTTGCCTCAGTTTGCAGCACAGCCAGCCAGAACAGGGAACTCCTTCTTACCTACAGCCCAACGCTTCTTCAGTTTAAATGAACAAAGATTATCATGCACTGCAGCTTCAAAACACTGATTATGAATACGAAGTGTCGTGACAACAATTAGACTGACATGTTTATGTTTGGGTAGTTTCATTAAGTGCTTTTTGCAAAATAATAATAATAAAAAAAGACTGAATGAAAGAATTCCTTCTCTACACGGACTCAGCTGAGGAAACCAGGAGAACAAGGCGATGGCTGACGTGCTTTGTGTAATGGAGCAAACATAGTTCAGTGGGTAGGGGCAGGCTTTCATTAGCTTCGATGTGTTGGTAAACAGAGGCACATTAAAAAGGGATCTCTTCACTCTCTCAGGGCTTTTCACTTCTCATCTCCAGGCACAGGACTCATTGTCAACAATCAACATGTACCAGCAGCAGCTGCTGCTGCTCAAAAACTGGCCATTGCAGGACAGAAATCGCCCTTACTCACAGTAGTAACAGCAGCACAGATTTGTCTTTATAAAAAAGATACTTCACATCAGACATTGGCCTGGAGAAACTGTTGGGCTTTTACAATATTAAAGCTAAATGTGAAGTAGTGGAGAAAATAATTTGGCAAAATTGTGTTACATCTGTGCAGTGACCTCAATGCTGTCCAATAAACAATGCTCACATTTGTTGCAGTAACTGTAAAAACAAAAACAAAAATCGAGTTGAACATACAGTACATGGACTGGAACCCTTCATACATACGACAAGGGAAATACTCAAACCCCAACATAAGCAAGCTCTCAGTTTCCAAATAATATCAGTTGTTATTGTACTGGCAGATGGAACCAAAAATAAGTGTGTGACATATTAAGGCATTTGATCTTTGGTTACTCATAGTGGCACTTAAATAAATAGTCTTATATTAAAACAAGAGTAAGTTGCCTGTCTTAGACACAGTGTATACGATTCCTCTGTCTTTCCTTACAGCAAATGTTGATTATCCTCAGCACTATGATTACAACATAGAGAGTGAAAAGCCATAAATATGAGACAAAGGTTTAAATTCATGTGCCTCAGCCTTCAGCATGCATGGAGACTTGGTCTTTCACCTGTGTGCACTTCCACTATCAGCAGATTAGTAGAAGAGGGATGGCTGTGAATTGAAGAAACCTCTGATTGGCCAGCAGCTCGCTGGGCTAGAGACACTCTGACAGCACCTCATGTTGGGGTAAAGACGGATAGATCATGGGCGTGCAAGTACACTCATTGTGGCTGTTTTGGCTGAGCTGGATTCTCAGTTTCTCCACTTCATAGTTATGGAGGTACTCCTGGACCAGGTAGCGCTCTCTCTTTACTCGAGCCCTCACGTCAGAGGGAATGTCGGGGATCATCCAGGCCACAAAGAACTTGACCATGAACACGACATGCTGTGGATGGAGAGGGCACAACAGGTTAGTTTGACTTCAATCTAGAGTCACCAAAACAAAGAGCTGAAGAAGAAACTCTGCATGGATTTTTTGTGGAATTTGTACTATATATGGAAAATGTGTGGGAGAAAGGGGCATTAGTGTAACAATCGACTGGTGCCCAAGGACGTGAAGCAAAGTTAAAATGATCAGTGAGTGTTGGTGGTGCTGGTGGAAGCACTGCGGCCTGGTTTTACCTCCATGATAATGATGAAAGCCAGCTTGGCGGCCAGAATATGCCAGAACTGCATAGTGTGGGAGTACTGCTTCTCATGGCCAGGAGGGTAGCGGTAATCACGATACCTACAAAGAAGGAATATGTCAGAGACTTTTAATTTTGATTTGATTCTTCAGCCCATTGTGCAAAGGAAAAAGGAAGTAATAATTACTCTAGTATTACGGTGCAGACTAAATTATACTATCTATAAACGTGCATTAAAACAATTAAAAGTACAGATACAATATTAACCACAACATTTAAATCTGAAGTTGAATAGTAATTGAAGTGGTGGTGCCACAAAGTTCAGCTGAGCTGCATTTCTGAGGCTTAACTGCATTAAAATTCTGTTTCTTTATATTTGTACTCCCAGAGAACTTTTTACATACAAAACATATAATTAACTTTTATAATATGATCAGTCAATATGACAGTCTTCAACAGTTGTGGCTCATTAGACTTGCTCAGGTGCAAAACTGACATTTATTTGAAGTCACCAAACTCCATGTACTAATTAGAGTGATAAAGTTTTAAAATACTTTTTCTCATTTGAAATATCCAACACAAAGTTATAAAATAGTTCAAATTCATCTTCACTCAAAGAGCTACATTGACATGCTGCTTGTAATATATTTAACACTGTAAAGCAGCCATTCTGCATCATTATTAGCATTTTTAATATAATAAATCTGTACTTTCAATCAAGTAGAATTTTGAAGGAAGGATTTTTCCTTGTAACAGAGTAGTTTTTACATGACTTTAGTAAAGGATTTGAATACTTCTTCTAACGCAGTCTTATATTAAAGCTGGAGTGCGGGACTATTACATATAAATGAACGTCCGTTACATACAAGCCCTTGCCAAACGAGGTCACACAGTGCTGATAAGGCCTATCAATGCCAAGTAAAGTTCTGTATTTTGCAGTCTACCAGTCTGGTATTAAATCTGGCGTCTGTGGCGATGTTCCCACGCTGGACAACTGTTAGTGATGTGTTTTATGCCAACCAGCAATAATTGATTTGCCAGAGCTGAAGTGGGGAGCGAAAGTAGCGACAGCAGCAACTCAGTTTGGCAGAGCCTTTACATCATATGCACATGTCTACAGCTTTGTGTAATTACTCTCACTGTCAGAAGGCGGAAGCAAAAGATCCACACTGCAGATTTAACATAGAAGTGGAAAAGTGGGCTACATCCACAATCACTCTTTCATACACCGAGCCTTACAATCACACACACCTGCAGGTAGTGATGGAGCTGTTGAACCAGAGAGGGTTCTCCTCGTCATCAGGCCTGTTGGCCATTGGGATCTCAGAGATATTAAACACAGACAGGCTGTTGTTTATGAAGCCTTTCATATTCATCTCACCCTGTGGCTGATAGGCGTACATGTACACAAGCCGAGGGATCATATCAGAGGTGAAGGCCACAATAAATGCCTAGAAAGCAGGAAAAGAAAACGTGTGAGGAAAACTAGAGGTCAAACTGGGTAAATAATAAGCAGACACAAAGCACATAGATGCAGTCCAGCACTCACATTTGTGACAACAGAGAGTATGGCCATCCCATTGAGGATTTCCTGCCAGGCTCCGATGCTGTGAGCCTTTGCTGCCACAGGACGTCTGAACTGAGTGGTAAGCTTCCAGGAATCCACTCTAACCTCGATGATGTTGTTGATAAGTGCCAGCAGGGGTGCCAGCGGGAAGGAGGCGACAAACAGTGTGATGAAACCAAACTGGATCACTGGGACAGAGAAGGGAGAGGTTAGTGAGAGTACGAGGGAAACAGCACCATCTGCAGCATCTCTGAGGAAACTGCATCTATCTATCTCAGTGCTTCCAGGCATTTACTTATTTATTCCCACTATCCCAATAGTTTAAAATCTGTTTATGTGTATAATTTCTCAACTTTGCTGCTGTATTTTAATAGGTAATTAATACCAATGTTTGTCTGTGTTTTACTCTTGGCCGAAACAGGACTCCACAAAATGGTCGCAACTCCAGCCTAGCTCTCAAGTGTCTATCTAAATCTCTCTCTGCATGTAATGGATTGACTATGTACTGATTGTTTACCCATTTCCAGGTACTCGTAGAAGAGGCCCAGCTGTCCAAAGCCCTGCAGGTCGTGGTCCTGCTCCCAGCGGCTATACAGGCTCTCCGGGTGATTTCTTGCCTTCCTGCTGCCCCACCAGTTCATTAGCCACCTGGATGCCACAAGGGGGCAATAGAGAGTTTTAAGACAATATAATTTACCCTCTGACAGCCACACTGGAGGTTGTACTGAACTGTAAACAATGGCTATAAAGAGATGACTGCCTTTTTTGATGTGCAACAGTTCCATCTAAACTGAGAGTAAAAGTCAAGGTTAATCTCTGTACTTGGTTTGACTTGAAACTGTTCTTTTCACAGCAAACATTTTTGTTTAGCTAGTAGCACAAGCACATCTGTTACTAACAAGATTACCAGTAATCAAGTTTCCCAGTAAACCATGGCAGTTTGACAGTGAGCCAGCTCCACAATAACAGGACTCAAACTAAAGCATCTAAATGGATTTTCAGCCATTTTTCATTTTATGTGCTTTTATGACAAAAGCAACAGCAATAAGATTATGATATTCAATATCATAATCTTATTGCTTTTGTGTAGATAATGCCAGCTTGTTAGTTAGCGATGTGGTTAGCTAGAAATTGCTGTCTTGTTGACATCTGAATTCTAATCTGTACAAGCATATGAGCAGTGGTTAGTGGATGCATGGTGACTCTT